ATGATAGAATGTCTCTCATTAAAATCTGTGCTTTGCTGTTTTTATTCTCTGAGTCAGTTCTCTTTGGATTAGAATTTGAGAACCGAACATCTGTTAGCATGACTGTAGACAATCCCTGGAACACTCAGTGCTACAACAAACGTTTTTTTTAAAAAATGGAACAATTATATACTCTCTGCGAAGATTATCTTTTATTTTTGGCATTTTCACAGAAACAGGGCTGTGATTTTTTTTTAAGTACAGCAAATTCATATGGCTTCATTCTCATACTGGAATGTTGGTATTAATCTATTGGCATAAAGGTAAAGGTTTCCCTTGCTCAAAAGCCAGTTGAATCCAACTCATCTCTGTTTCCAAGACGAGCTGTCTGAAGACATTTCCATGGTCATGTGGCCGGCATGACTAAACACCGAGGCACACAGAACACTGTTACCTTCCCACCAAAGCGGTACCTATTCATCTACTTGCAATTTCTTGCTTTCGAACTGCTAGGTTGGCAGGAGCTGGGACCAGAGATGGGAGCTCACTCCATCACGCAGCACTAGGATCTCAAACTGCCAAACTACAGACCTTCCAGTCTGTAGTTCAGCGTCTTTACCTCTGAGCCACCACAGCCCTAAAACTATTGGCATACACAAAACTAAACACAATTAGGTGACGAAAATTGCATGGTCACTTTAAAAAAAGAACTAGGAAAAGTGAAAAACAATCTTCTAATATCTAGCGCTAAAGAAACACCACAACAGAATTCATCAACAGTTAATTAAAGGAAGATGATAATAAAATGAAACGATTTGGCCATTGTTCACTTCCATGGTCTTTAGGAAGGGGCCAAAAATTCAGACTGGAAAAAAATAGCAGGGAACAAGCAACACACACAGAATTCTTTGCAAATCTTTACAGCTCAAAACCAAAGAGTCAGATTTAACTTGAGTTCACCTAAATTATCCCTTGCACATCTAGGATTAGGGAGAAAACCTTCAAACAGGGCATGCAATTCTGAAACAGGCTTTAAGTCCAACACCTCCTGTCATAAAAATAAATCCTATATTCACACACATACACTCTCTTCATAATACACATCTGTAATACAAGCTTGGATTCCGTAATATACAAGATAAAGCATTTGGTATGGCATTGTGCTTTGAGGACAGCAAAGGACACAGGAAATAGCTGAACTGCCAAATTTTAGATGATGCTTTGAAGCAGATGTTAGAATTAGTGAAGGCAAGACCTAACCGAAGTTTCTTTTCCTTCAACATATATGCTTCATAATTTGCTTTTCAGTAAACACTAGTCAGAAGTGGAGAATCTGAGGTCACAGTCACACATGCCAGAAAAAAAGGGGGGGGAGCAAGGCTGTTTCCTCCAGAGGAATTTGACCTACAGTTGCGCGATCACACAGTCCTTGGAAACTGTGGGCACAGCCCGACACTGCGTGATCAGACACAACCGTGGGTGAGTCAGGGTGGGGTTTTTTGCCATTTGTTTCTGATGCGCTTAAATGAGGAATTGGTTAATCGCATCTCTGCACTGAGGGCTCCCTATGAAGTCTGCGATGATGTACAGACTGCGAGGGGGGGGAATAACAGCATGGAGTCAGGATGGCCTGATCAGACCATCTCAATGCCATGAGAGTGTGCTGGAGCGATCAGAGACAGGAAAGTCCATCCGTGGCCCGTCGCAACCCGTTTTCTACCAGATTTTCCCTGGTGTCTTTTTACTCCACCTGCAGTGGAGCAGAACGGGTTGCCAATGGCCGTGGGGCACTTTCCAGGCATTGTTGTCTGATCGCACCCTTTAAATCCGCCTGGCATTCAGCTATGGCTGGTCTAATTGTGTGTATGATCACGGCCTGAATGTATCTTTGGTTGAAAGGCTATTGCATTCGAACTGTTCTGTTATACACTTTGTTCCCCATTCCTTTTTTCATTATTCTTTTGTCAGTTCAACAAACTGGGTTTTTATATTATGTAATACTAGGAATAAGCGTGTTGTAGAAATAAATACAATGAGGTCTTGAAAGAGGCTCTGGGATAGTGCCCCGGCCTTGGGCACTCAGCGTCAATTTGCTGTGGTGACCTGTCATCTGAGCAGTTGTAATTCTCCATGATCTGCATCCCTCCCCTAGAGACTGGCAACAATGGTTCCCCATGAGGGAATGGCTGGTTTGGAGGGGGGGGGCTATGGCA